GAACGCGCTGGAGGGCAGTTCTAGACGCGAGCTGCAGATGAACTTGGATTCGCCAATGAACAATTTGGTGCCTAGCCAGAGTTCCGAGATACTGCACATGTGTCCTAATCCAATGAACTCTTGTGTGCGTCAGCTGCTCGATGATGGTGAGCAGCTTGCAGATTGATTATTGCAGATATAAAATATGATGGTATAATATATAATAATATATATTCATGCACAGGCATCACCCCATTTCCGTATAAGGTGGCCAAGTCCTTGGACCCTTATATGTATCGCAACATCGAATTCGATAGCTGGAACGATCTGCGCAAGGAGGCCAAGCGCTACAATGTGTATGCCAATGATTATAACTTCAAGGTGAGTTTCATAGGGTAACTGGTTTCTTAACTCCAATCGAAATTAACACCACACCTGAATTCCTCTAATCCCCGGGCTTGTTAATTATTTCAAAATCGAATGCATCCGTAACCTGACTGATGCTAATCATTTGCAGGTGGGCGCCAAATGCCGCGTGGAGTTGGTAACCGACACCGATAGACAACTATACACTTGCCATATTCAGAAGATTTCCGCAGACAAATCCTGCTCGGTAGTCTATATCGAGCACTTTGGGAAGAAATTCTTGGTAGGCCGTCCCTTCCTTCCCATCCCCGGCACACCCACTTACGTAACAAAAAAAAAAAACAACTTTTATTGATTTCACTAATCATCTCTTTTTTGTCGTTTCTCGTTTCTATGCTCATCTAACAGGTGCCCTATGAGTCGTTGCATCCAGTGCCACCTGACGAGTTCCGCCCATGGGCTGTGCCATATCGCTATCAACGCCAAATGCAGCGCATGCAGCTGGCCAAGCTTGCCCAGAAGACCAAGCCCAGATGGAAGAAGACCAAGCTGTACGATGTGGCCAATTACTTTGAGACAAGCAGCATGCAGTATATGCAGCTGGATTCCTGGCAGGGCTGCCCACCAATGTTGAACGAGCATGGAGCTTTGCAGCAACAACAACAACCGCAGCAACTGGAGCAACAATCGCAACAACAGATCGAGATTAATGAGACCACCGAGCTGGAGCAGCCGCAGCATTCGCGTGAGCAGCGTTTCCAGCCACGCGAGAAGTCTACGCGTCCTCCGAAGCCGAATCAGAAGCAACAGGCAGCCCCTCCCACCCCCGTAATGGGAGCCACCGCATTGCCACCACCGGCCGCGTTGCCACCGACGGCCCAGATCGTTAATTATGTGCCCATTTCTGGGCGCGCTGCTCAATTGCCGCAGCCGTGGCGCGGCGCTGCACAGCCCATGGCAGAGGAGTTTCCGACTGCCATCTTTCCAGGAGCTCCGTTGACTCCGGACGGTTGCATGTTTATGCATTTTGGTGGCTATGCACCACCGCCCATTTCGCTGCAGGCACCACCACCGCCGTTTGGAGCAGCGCCATTTATGTTTGCTCCGGCACCGCCGCCGCTGGTGTCACCGGTGGCTTCGGTGATGCTGCCATCGGTGGGCACTGTCGCCAGCAGCAGCACCAACAACTGCAACATGACCAACAACACTGCAACAACAACTAGCCAATTCGCTATGCGCAGCAACAACGGCGAGGATCAGTTGGAGCCGAGGCGCTCGCTGCATGCCAATGGTGAGGATTTGCCGGCTGATCTGGGCACCTTGCGCTACTTCTACAACATGGGCGTCGATATGCATATGCGCTGGTCTAATATGATGCCGCCCGATGAGCAGGTGCGAATGTACAGCAACACGAATGCCAATCAGAACCACAACAACACGGACCAACAAGGAAATGAACAGAACGACGAGGCAGTTGCTCTGGTGGCAAACTCTACACCGCCGCCATCGCCGGTTGCAGCAGCTACTGCCAATCCGCCGGGTGCTTTCGGCTCTGGCACAGAGACAAACGTAGAGAAGGGTCGCGGTCGCAATAAACGTGGCGGGTTCAACAAGATGCGCGGCAAGCGTCCGGAGCAACTTCCTGATGTGACCAAGGATGCCAATCTGTCGCATGCCATGCTACTACCGACGCCAACTCCGTCGCCCAACCCCAACGGGAATCAGTTCAACTTTTATCCCACTGTGCTGCCGCCGGTACCGCCTCAACCGACATTGCCGCCGCCGCAGATGCCGTCACCAATTTTTTTTGCACCCCAGAAGGTGGGACAGGTAAGCTATGCTAGGAGTATAAGAAACTGAATGGCTTTGTATTAAATCATCTTCCACATTCTCTGTGCAGCCTCCATATGCCTGGAACATGGGTGCGCCACCGATGGTAATGCCATTCGAGCGTCCTAAGAACTGTGCCGTCGAGCAACAGCCAACTCCACCAGGAGTCTACAAACCACCACGTCACTAGAGCATCGACATAATATTACTACTATATAACCCTATATACATACACTATATGCATACAGAATATTATCAATTTCTATTTAGAGCAATCAGCTTAACTTAACATTAGCACAAAAGCAACGAATTTTCGAATCGATTCAAAAACAAACAACGAACTCTATATGCCGTTTTAAATTTGTTTTAAATTTTGTCTTTTTTTTTTTTAAAGAAAATTTTGAACAAATTCATAAGAAATCAAATCAGTTATACAAAATCCGTAAAATTATAGCAGCTATAATTTTAAATATGTAATGCAATTTTATGCGATTTTAATAACTTACAACTTGCACATTTTCGAAACAATAGAGCAACACATAACCCTTTAAAAACAATCTATTTATACATTTTATTCAAACTTATTCACTAATTTAGACTATATAACTTAACCTTTAAAAAGAAATTGCTTGTTTATACATATTTTTTTTTTAAACAAATGTTAAAACTCCTAAGCAAACAAAAAAATAACAAATAACATAAAAAAACTAAAAAACAAAAAAATGTAAAAAAAGAGGTATATGTATTATATATACGGAAAAAAAACAAAAAAAATTGTAACCTTATGATAACCAATAAAAACACTAAAGACACAAAACACAAAACTGTACGGAAATGCAACTGATTGAAAGAAATTTGGGCAACGGCTCGTTCGTTTGTACGTGGTATTTCCAAAGCTCTGCTGCCACATTTTGTGTATTGATGATGGCCAAAAGCAAATGTTAGAGCGCTTAGGTAGAAATAATATTAATTCGTAAGTAAAATCTTGCAACTAGATTTACCACAAAAAAAGAAGGTAAATGTGAATTATAACTTAAGTTGTTAGTCAAGTAATCTTTAGATTGATTGATGCAGGTTGCCCATCACGCTGATGATCAGCTGGAAGAAGCTGGGAAACGCTCGACCCGCGGCCAGGCGCTGATCCCGCAACCGAATGGGCTGAGGGAAATTATAGATAGACTTGAGATTGAGGCAACTTGTGAGTTTGGATCTGAATCGGACTCACGACACTCCGAGCAATGCTCTGGCCCAGGAAGAGGAGGAGCAKCAGCAGCAGCAGCCACAGCAGATGCCGATGCAGATACAAAGAGAAGAAACGCATCTTAAGTGCTCTTCTTTTCTTTCGGCTTTTGTTGTCTCTTTTGCACGCTCTGAACTTGTAACAGTTTTTTATTTTTATTTAATTATATACTATTTCTTCTTTTTTTTTTTTAGATTTTTTGGATGCGCTCGGCTGTTTTATATTTTTGTGTTCGACTATTTATGCTTACAAACTGAAAACGTTTCGCTAAAGTGTCGCATTTTTATGCTGATCTCTCAGTTCGACAAATGGGCGGGGGTACCGGCAGGCGACCTACATTCGGAGCTCGAAACTCAAATTCGATTATTGTGCTTAACACGCTGTCCCATGCATTAGCCTAATAATTGCTATGATTCGCATTAGGAGGACAAATGGAAATAGCCGAGAAAATGCCAATAGTTTCGACCTCTCCCACTGCCGCCGGAGGACAACTGATGCACGCAAAATATTAATTATATATTATACTCAATAATATATTTAATTAAGCCTTAACTGAGGCTATAAAATAATTGCTTATTTCATTAAAAACTAGAAAAAAATAGGCTAAGATGTATATCATCATGCAGTTACRTGTGATATATTTAAATATTTATGTGTCTTGCTATAATAAGTAATATTATATACTCTTTAATTACATATAATTTTAACGAAGCTTACTCTAAACCGAAATATGTATATTTCTCTAGATCTCTTGTGTGATACATCCAAGTATAGCTCTTAAATTGCATTGGTCTAAACAACATTTTTTAAATGTAAAGTTTACCTGGATCTATATAAGATGTTATATATTAAAGCACTCTAAAATCGATCAAATATCAATTTGTAAGCTGAGCGAAAGATTCAGCTAGAATTCAACAGTTACATTTATCGCTGTAGACGCTGATTCATAAATGGAATTTCTTGCTTCAAAGCTTAAACTTGAAGCATTTTCACTTTATCACATGGTTTAAGTCTGTTACCTTAAAACTGAACCTTATCTAGATTAAGATAATGTAAGAAAAAGAGGAAACTTAATTATAGATTATATTAAAATATATAACAATTTGAAAAAAAAAA